TTGTGGTCCCCTACCTACCACTGTTCTTTGTGGAAGAAGCCCTGTATTGTGGTCCCCTACCTACCACTGTTTGTGTGGAAGAAGCCCTGTATTGTGGTCCCCTACCTACCACTGTTTGTGTGGAAGAAGCCCAGTGTTATGGTCCCCTACCTACCACTGTTTCTGAGGAAGAAGCCCTGTGTATTGTCGCCCCCCTACCTACCACTGTTTGTGTGGAAGAAGCCATGTATTGTGGTCCCCTACCTACCACTGTTTGTGTGGAAGAAGCCCTGTATTGTGGTCCCCTACCTACCACTGTTTGTGTGGAAGAAGCCCTGTATTGTGGTCCCCTACCTACCTCTGTTTGTATGGAAGAAGCCCTGTATTGTGGTCCCCTACCTACCACTGTTTGTGTGGAAGAAGCCCTGTATTGTGGTCCCCTACCTACCACTGTTGTTGTTTGTCTTGAAGAAGAAGCCCTGTATTGTGGTCCCCTACCTACCACTGTTTGTGTGGAAGAAGCCCTGTATTGTGGTCCCCTACCTACCACTGTTGTTGTTTGTGTGGAAGAAGCCCTGTATTGTGGTCCCCTACCTACCACTGTTTGTGTTGAAGAAGCCCTGTATTTTGGTCCCCTACCTACCACTGTTTGTGTGGAAGAAGCCCTGTGTTGTGGTCCCCTACCTACCACTGTTTGTGTGGAAGAAGCCCTGTATTGTGGTCCCCTATCTACCACTGTTGTTTGTGCAGAAGAAGCCCTGTATTGTGGTAACCTACCTACCACTGTTTGGGTGGAAGAAGCCCTGTATTGTGGTCCCCTACCTACCACTGTTCTTTGTGTGGAAGAAGCCCCGTATTGTGGTCCCCTACCTACCACTGTTTATGTGGAAGAAGCTCCTGTATTGTGGTCCCCTACCTACCACTGTTTGTGTGGAAGAAGCCCTGTATTGTGGTCCCCTACCTACCACTGTTTGTGTGGAAGAAGCCCTGTATTGTGGTCCTCTACCTACCACTGTTTGTGTGGAAGAAGCCCAGTATTTTGGTCCCCTACCTACCACTGTTGTTTGTGCGGAAGAAGCCCTGTATTGTGGTCCCCTACCTACCACTGTTTGTGTGGAAGAAGCCCAGTATTGTGGTCCCCTACCTACCACTGTTGTTTGTGCGGAAGAAGCCCTGTATTGTGGTCCCCTACCTTCCACTGTTTATGTGGAAGAAGCCCTGTATTGTGGTCCCCTACGTACCAATGTTGTTTGTGTGGAAGAAGCCCTGTATTGTGGTCCCCTACCTACCACTGTTTGTGTGGAAGAAGCCCTGTATTGTGGTCCCCTACCTACCACTGTTTGTGTGGAAGAAGCCCTGTATTGTGGTCCTCTACCTACCACTGTTTGTGTGGAAGAAGCCCTGTATTGTGGTCCTCTACCTACCACTGTTTGTGTGGAAGAAGCCCAGTATTGTGGTCCCCTACCTACCACTGTTGTTTGTGCGGAAGAAGCCCTGTATTGTGGTCCCCTACCTACCACTGTTTGTGTGGAAGAAGCCCTGTATTGTGGTCCCCCACCTACCACTGTTTGTGTGGAAGAAGCCCTGTATTGTGGTCCCCTACCTACCACTGTTTGTGTGGAAGAAGCCATGTATTGTGGTCCCCTACCTACCACTGTTTGTGTGGAAGAAGCCCTGTATTGTGGTCCCCTACCTACCACTGTTTGTGTGGAAGAAGCCCTGTACTGTGGTCCCCTACCTACCACTGTTTGTGTGGAAGAAGCCCTGTATTGTGGTCCCCTACCTACCACTGTTTGTGTGGAAGAAGCCCTGTATTGTGGTCCCCTACCTACCACTGTTTGTGTGGAAGAAGCCCAGTATTGCGGTCCCCTACCTACCACTGTTTGTGTGGAAGAAGCCCTGTATTGTGGTCCTCTACCTACCACTGTTTGTGTGGAAGAAGCCCTGTATTGTTGTCCCCTACCTACCACTGTTTGTGTGGAAGAAGCCCTGTATTCTGGTCCCCTACCTACCACTGTTTGTGTGGAAGAAGCCATGTATTGTGGTCCCCTACCTACCACTGTTTGTGTGGAAGAAGCCCTGTATTGTGGTCCCCTACCTACCACTGTTTGTGTGGAAGAAGCCCTGTATTGTGGTCCCCTACATACCACTGTTGTTGTTTGTGCGGAAGAAGCCCTGTATTGTGGTCCCCTACCTACCACTGTTTGTGTGGAAGAAGCCCTGTATTGTGGTCCCCTACCTACCACTGTTGTTGTTTGTGTGGAAGAAGCCCTGTATTGTGGTCCCCTACCTACCACTGTTTGTGTGGAAGAAGCCCTGTATTGTGGTCCCCTACATACCACTGTTGTTGTTTGTGCGGAAGAAGCCCTGTATTGTGGTCCCCTATCTACCACTGTTGTTTGTGCGGAAGAAGCCCTGTATTGTGGTCCCCTACCTACCACTGTTTGGGTGGAAGAAGCCCTGTATTGTGGTCCCCTACCTACCACTGTTCTTTGTGGAAGAAGCCCTGTATTGTGGTCCCCTACCTACCACTGTTTGTGTGGAAGAAGCCCTGTATTGTGGTCCCCTACCTACCACTGTTTGTGTGGAAGAAGCCCAGTGTTGCGGTCCCCTACCTACCACTGTTTCTGAGGAAGAAGCCCTGTATTGTCGTCCCCTACCTACCACTGTTTGTGTGGAAGAAGCCATGTATTGTGGTCCCCTACCTACCACTGTTTGTGTGGAAGAAGCCCTGTATTGTGGTCCCCTACCTACCACTGTTTGTGTGGGAAGAAGCCCTGTATTGTGGTCCCCTACCTACCTCTGTTTGTATGGAAGAAGCCCTGTATTGTGGTCCCCTACCTACCACTGTTTGTGTGGAAGAAGCCCTGTATTGTGGTCCCCTACCTACCACTGTTGTTGTTTGTGCGGAAGAAGCCCTGTATTGTGGTCCCCTACCTACCACTGTTTGTGTGGAAGAAGCCCTGTATTGTGGTCCCCTACCTACCACTGTTGTTGTTTGTGTGGAAGAAGCCCTGTATTGTGGTCCCCTACCTACCACTGTTTGTGTTGAAGAAGCCCTGTATTTTGGTCCCCTACCTACCACTGTTTGTGTGGAAGAAGCCCTGTGTTGTGGTCCCCTACCTACCACTGTTTGTGTGGAAGAAGCCCTGTATTGTGGTCCCCTATCTACCACTGTTGTTTGTGCAGAAGAAGCCCTGTATTGTGGTAACCTACCTACCACTGTTTGGGTGGAAGAAGCCCTGTATTGTGGTCCCCTACCTACCACTGTTCTTTGTGTGGAAGAAGCCCCGTATTGTGGTCCCCTACCTACCACTGTTTATGTGGAAGAAGCCCTGTATTGTGGTCCCCTACCTACCACTGTTTGTGTGGAAGAAGCCCTGTATTGTGGTCCCCTACCTACCACTGTTTGTGTGGAAGAAGCCCTGTATTGTGGTCCTCTACCTACCACTGTTTGTGTGGAAGAAGCCCAGTATTGTGGTCCCCTACCTACCACTGTTGTTTGTGCGGAAGAAGCCCTGTATTGTGGTCCCCTACCTACCACTGTTTGTGTGGAAGAAGCCCAGTATTGTGGTCCCCTACCTACCACTGTTGTTTGTGCGGAAGAAGCCCTGTATTGTGGTCCCCTACCTTCCACTGTTTATGTGGAAGAAGCCCTGTATTGTGGTCCCCTACGTACCAATGTTGTTTGTGTGGAAGAAGCCCTGTATTGTGGTCCCCTACCTACCACTGTTTGTGTGGAAGAAGCCCTGTATTGTGGTCCCCTACCTACCACTGTTTGTGTGGAAGAAGCCCTGTATTGTGGTCCCCTACCTACCACTGTTTGTGTGGAAGAAGCCCTGTATTGTGGTCCTCTACCTACCACTGTTTGTGTGGAAGAAGCCCTGTATTGTGGTCCCCTACCTACCACTGTTGTTGTTTGTGTGGAAGAAGCCCTGTATTGTGGTCCCCTACCTACCACTGTTTGTGTTGAAGAAGCCCTGTATTTTGGTCCCCTACCTACCACTGTTTGTGTGGAAGAAGCCCTGTGTTGTGGTCCCCTACCTACCACTGTTTGTGTGGAAGAAGCCCTGTATTGTGGTCCCCTATCTACCACTGTTGTTTGTGCAGAAGAAGCCCTGTATTGTGGTAACCTACCTACCACTGTTTGGGTGGAAGAAGCCCTGTATTGTGGTCCCCTACCTACCACTGTTCTTTGTGTGGAAGAAGCCCCTGTATTGTGGTCCCCTACCTACCACTGTTTATGTGGAAGAAGCCCTGTATTGTGGTCCCCTACCTACCACTGTTTGTGTGGAAGAAGCCCTGTATTGTGGTCCCCTACCTACCACTGTTTGTGTGGAAGAAGCCCTGTATTGTGGTCCTCTACCTACCACTGTTTGTGTGGAAGAAGCCCAGTATTGTGGTCCCCTACCTACCACTGTTGTTTGTGCGGAAGAAGCCCTGTATTGTGGTCCCCTACCTACCACTGTTTGTGTGGAAGAAGCCCAGTATTGTGGTCCCCTACCTACCACTGTTGTTTGTGCGGAAGAAGCCCTGTATTGTGGTCCCCTACCTTCCACTGTTTATGTGGAAGAAGCCCTGTATTGTGGTCCCCTACGTACCAATGTTGTTTGTGTGGAAGAAGCCCTGTATTGTGGTCCCCTACCTACCACTGTTTGTGTGGAAGAAGCCCTGTATTGTGGTCCCCTACCTACCACTGTTTGTGTGGAAGAAGCCCTGTATTGTGGTCCTCTACCTACCACTGTTTGTGTGGAAGAAGCCCTGTATTGTGGTCCTCTACCTACCACTGTTTGTGTGGAAGAAGCCCAGTATTGTGGTCCCCTACCTACCACTGTTGTTTGTGCGGAAGAAGCCCTGTATTGTGGTCCCCTACCTACCACTGTTGTTGTTTGTGCGGAAGAAGCCCTGTATTGTGGTCCCCTACCTACCACTGTTTGTGTGGAAGAAGCCCTGTATTGTGGTCCCCTACCTACCACTGTTTGTGTGGAAGAAGCCCTGTATTGTGGTCCCCTACCTACCACTGTTTGTGTGGAAGAAGCCCTGTATTGTTGTTTGTTTTGTGGCTGTAAAGAGGAGAGGGTGAGGGGCCGTGGTCTGAGTCAGTTCCCATAGCGATGACTTGGACTGTCGGGGAAATCCCCTAACCACACTTGAGCGTCGTCTCTTATGCTTGGGTGAGGCTGGCTTGATCTGCAACACAGATTAAATATAAAGCACATTTAACAAATATTCCAAGTTAGTCATCATTTGCATGTAAAAGCATTCAGGTGATTTCTGGGTGAAATGATGAAACTATTACACAAGTCAGTAATACATCATTGTTTCAGGAAATGAAACCCAGGTGTGTTTACCTGGCTGGTGGGAAGGTACAACCCAGATGTGTTTACCTGGCTGGTGGGAAGGTACAACCAAGATGTGTTTACCTGGCTGGTGGGAAGGTACAACCCAGATGTGTTTACCTGGCTGGTGGGAAGGTACAACCCAGATGTGTTTACCTGGCTGGTGGGAAGGTACAACCCAGATGTGTTTACCTGGCTGGTGGGAAGGTACAACCCAGATGTGTTTACCTGGCTGGTGGGAAGGTACAACCCAGATGTGTTTACCTGGCTGGTGGGAAGGTACAACCCAGATGTGTTTACCTGGCTGGTGGGAAGGTACAACCCAGATGTGTTTACCTGGCTGGTGGGAAGGTACAACCCAGATGTGTTTACCTGGCTGGTGCAAAGGTACAACCCAGATGTGTTTACCTGGCTGGTGGGAAGGTACAACCCAGATGTGTTTACCTGGCTGGTGGGAAGGTACAACCCAGATGTGTTTACCTGGCTGGTGGGAAGGTACAACCAAGATGTGTTTACCTGGCTGGTGCAAAGGTACAACCCAGATGTGTTTACCTGGCTGGTGGGAAGGTAAAAACAACTATACCTGGACTGACAGACATGTTAAATGGATGCAGATACTCAAAACTGTATTTAAACTTGGAAAACCAATTTCTATTTCAGTTGTGAATGTATTGCTCGCTGTCCAGAAAGAAACCTTTCCTAATGATGCCCTGTGTTATAACGGGGCTGTGCTCAAGTGAAGTAGACACTGAATATATAACCTCTAGAGTGCTTCCATCAGCTGACCAAACCCCCAACGGTGAGGAACTCCAACTGTGAGGCCATGACAAGTCACAATCTGCCACACTCTTGCATTCCTCTGTAAGCTCATGTAAAATTAAAACACCCTGACATAAAGAAAACAAACATTTGAAGCTGATTTGTTTATCAATGCCACATTCAGCAGCACTCCAGTTATATGATGAAGGATGTAAATACCAGGGCCTGGACCACACAATCAGGTGATTGCTATCCCTAAGGTCGGGAATAAGTAACGTAAATGTGTGTCTTGCATATCCATTACACACTAGTAACAAGGAGCCAGTAAGTCTGCACCAGACAATCCAGTGACAATCCAGTGACAACACCAAGACTCCCCATGTAGAGACAAGCTAATGAGATGAAGCCAATATTCCCTTTTACTAGTTTTAGTCGATGATTTGAGAAGTAATGCACAATTTGACATTCGTCTTAGACTAACACACATCAGAGCTAAGTGTGTTACTGTTTCACAGTAATAAAGTAAAATCTTGATGGTAAAAGATATCAGTGTTTTATCACTAAAGTATGTTTGTCCTGAACATGATGAATGTTGCTTACAATGCAGTCAGTTACATTGGCGGGTTCGAACCCCCCACCTTTTGAAAATGACTTAAGACCACATTGAACATTTTTTTTTTTGCGATGGCGGAGTCAATGGGGGGTTCAGGGCTTCAAGCCCCTGAACCCTCCCTCCTTTCAAAATTCCTGGATCCGCCCATGAGCTATATTCCAGCTGTACAATGCAGTCAGTTATATTCCAGCTGTACAATGCAGTCTGACAGTTATATTCCAGCTGTACAATGCAGTCAGTTATATCCCAGCTGTACAATGCAGTCTAACAGTAATATCCCAGCTGTACAATGCAGTCTGACAGTTATATTCCAGCTGTACAATGCAGTCAGTTATATCCCAGCTGTACAATGCAGTCTAACAGTAATATCCCAGCTGTACAATGCAGTCTGACAGTTATATTCCAGCTGTACAATGCTAGGTAAAAGGAAGCAGGAATCCTCATGAGATTTTCTCTGAATGCATGATGGTTTTCCTGCAGGCACAAACTTGGAGTGGATCTCACAATTTAGTTGGGATTTTTGTTCTGTTCTTTCAGTAGCCTTGGACGAAAAAAACTGAGATCTTGTCAAACCGTATCAAAAATAATATCTACCTTTTGTTTATTCCTAGTGGAAAGCCATTCCTCAGATGTTGCAGAGGAGTTGTCATCATCCGGCTGCTTCCTCTTCATCCTTGCAACAACAGAAGAAACATCACATCAGCAACATATCACAACATCATCCTAACACTGGACATCTACCATATACAAGACAAATCTTATGTATACCAACTTCTTGGTTTATTTTTCCACAACGTTTCTGGGCTACTTCTTGCCCCTTCTTCAGGTGAATAATGGTGATAGTGAACAGTACAGTATATATATAGATGTACAGGAAGCCAGATATGTAAATTGAGTATATACAAGGGAAGAAGGAGGTATAATTAAGTATGTACAAACAATGCAGTGAGATCAAAGAGCAGAATGCAATGATAGGGTATGTTTCTACTGTAAGGGCAAGGGTGTGTTTACATAGCAGAGTGGTTAAAGCAGATAGAGTTTGAGAGTCTATGATTTCTGGGTGATGGAACAGGCGCTGGGGAGGTAAACCCCTTAATCTCTGTTGATCTCAGGCACTAATCTTCTTATGTTGATTGACTCTCACAGTTTTCTTTTGCACAAATTGCTGATGTTGGAAGCCAGGACTTCGGTGTGTTGCCAGTTGATAGATTGGTTGGGATTGTTAACGATGTGTTCTGAGAGGGCAGATTTGAGATCAGATTTTCCAACAAGAGACTTCTTGTGCTGGCGTTCTAACTTTGCTGTTGGATCCTTGGGTATGATCTTGTTCATCGAGTGAACGACCACCAGCAATGCATCCCTCAACGGTAAGATGAAACAACGCCATACTAAGAAATTGAGCAACCTTCAGCAGCATGCAGCAGCTCACTCATCCCATTCCACGCAAAGATAGAAGGCCAGCACAAGAAAACTCTGAAGACTCTCCATGACAGCAACCAAATCAATGACACTGTGTTCAATAAGTTAAACCCAATCAATTGTCAATCTCCTTATGCTCGTGCCAATGTAAAAATCCACAAAAAGCCTGTAAAAAACAAGGATTCTTGTGTGCTCGCGAGGGTCAGTGTACTACAATACTGCACTATTTCTTTCTATACTGCTTGCCCCTTTGGGTAAAGAAGGTAAATCATTCATCAGTGACTCAGCATCATTTGTGAACCAACTGTTGGACTCTAGATTATCAGGCCAAATGGTCAGCTATGATGTTGTTGATTTATTTACAAACATTCCATTGTATGAAGCTCTTAACATTCTCCATGCAAAATTAGACAGTTGTATTGACACTGTTGAAACTAAACTCACCACAGACAGTATAATCGAATTGGTATCCAGCTGTTTACAGACTTCCTATTTCACATGACAGAACTTCATCTATCAGCAGATTCATGGGCTCCCCATGGGTTCACCAATCTCCCCTCTGATTACTGAAATCTTCATGACCAGCTTTGAAGAATCAGCCTTATCTACATCGCCCTACCAGCCACTATGCTGGTACAGGAAGGTGGACGACACTTTCGCCATCCTTGATCCTGACCACGACCCTGCCGTCCTCCTAGATCACCGGGGCGGTGGGGTAGCCTTGTGGTTAAAGCGTTGTCTCGTCATGCCGAAGACCCGGGTTCGATTCCCCACATGGGCACAATGTGTGAAGCCCATTTCTGGTGTCCCCAGCCATGATATTGCTGGAATATTGCTAAAAGCGGCGTAAAACCACACTCACTCAGTCAGTCAGTCCTAGATCACCTCAACAAACAGCACAACCGCATCCAGTTCATCATGGAGACTGAAGATCAACACAAACTGCCCTTCCTTGATGTATCCCTCGACAACTCATCCAACAAGATTACTCCCTCTGTCTATAGAAAACCAACACACACGGACCAGTATATCCACTATCTATCCAACCATCACCCACAAATCAAACGAGCCATAGTCTCTACCCTAACCAGACGTGCCAAGGTTATCTGCGACCCAGCACAACTCAATAATGAAACTGACCACCTCAAAGCGACCTTCATCACCCTCAACGGGTATGTCCCAAGAAACTTGTAGAGCGGACTATAGTCACCACCCTCCAGCCACAAAATCACAGTCCACCCAAATCCGAACCAGCTCCCATCCGAATCAATATCCCTTACCAAGGCCAGATTAGCCATCACATCAGTCGACTCCTTAGAAAAACTGCCAGTGTTGATGTGACATTTTATTCCGACAAAACCTTAAAATCAATCCTGAGAGCGAGGTAGCAGCCATCAGGGAGAACCCAGTCCAAGAGGATGTGTCTACAAAATTAGTTGTGATTGTGGAAGCAGCTATATTGGAGAAACATGTCAGCCCTTCAACATAAGACTAAAAGAACATAAAACTCTCAGAACACATCGTTAACAATCCCAACCACTCGATCAACTGGCAACACACCAAAGTCCTGGCTTCCAACATCAGCAATTTGTGCAAAAGAAAACTGAGAGTCAATCAACGTAAGAAGATTAGTGCCTGAGATCAACAGAGATTAAGGGGTTTACCTCCCCAGCGCCTGGTTCATCACCCAGAAATCATAGACTCTCAAACTCTATCTGCTTTAACCACTCTGCTATGTAAAAACACCCTTGCCCTTACAGTAGAAACATACCCTATCATTGTATTCTGCTCTTTGATCTCACTGCATTGTTTGTACATACTTAATTATACCTCCTTCTTCCCTTGTATATACTCAATTTACATATCTGGCTTCCTGTACATCTGTATATATACTGTACTGTTCACTATCACCATTATTCACCTGAAGAAGGGACAAGAAGTAGCCCAGAAACGTTGTGGAAAAATAAACCAAGAAGTTGTTATCCATAAGATTCGTCTTGTATTACTACACCAACTTCTAAATGCCTTTGAAGAATTTCATCTACCATATAGCACTACATAAGGTACATGGATGCAAGTTGGACTCAAATTTAACCCAAAAAGCAAACTTAACCTTTCTGGTTAGACTTCCGCCCATATCCCCCCTAAATCATAACAATGAGGAAAACTTCCTTTGAGTGGCATTTTTAGAAGTTTCGTATGTCTTTCAGTAAATGTTCAGATACAATTAAAAACATTTTAAAAATCACCCTTATCAGATAAGGAATATATATTCAGGTGATGATTTGACTAGAATAACATTTATGGGGGGATACGGGCGGAAGTCTTTACACTATGACGTATAATGTAAGTAACTTGTAAAAATAACAGTTAATATTCACACACACGGAGTCACTGACTCAGCCGGTAAAGTAACAGCTTGATTTTGTCATTCGCTATTTTTTCACCTGCTTAGTCAATCCGTAGCCCAGCTCAGAATAACAGCCTTAAGTATTATTAGTAGTGCGCTTTTAAAAACATAGCCTGATCACGGATATGTTGTCTGTGAACGCGACAAACCGCACCTTTAAAAATACTAACACTAATTTTTACCTGTTTACACGAGCGCGCCATGTGATGTACTATTTACCAAAGGGGCGTAACTCTACTGCAGCACTTTTCACACCGTTAAAGAAACACACATTCAAGCATTTCATGAGAGGCTCCTTGATTTACATTATAAATCTGAACACAAATTTCGAATCCTCAACATTATGGATCTATAATTTGCATCTTGAAAACGAATAAGATTATGTTCCTCTTTTGCGACGATGATAATAATTGTTGAGAAACAGAAACAATATGCACGGACGATACTTACCGCAGGTGTTCGTTACATTAAGTATGAGATTATGTAATTTGTATGTCTAATTTTATGTCGAATTAATGATCGCCTATAGTGCCAGCGTGTGTTGTAATGGAATGTCATAAGCGGCATAGTAGGAAGCAGTTTTTGTCAATTCTACTCTATTGATTCACAAAATGCACAAAAAGAATGTCGATTAACCAACTCACAAAAATAACGCTATTTGAATCTTTCTCTTCTTTAGTTATTGTATTGAAACTATAAGCAAGTATTATAAATGCAAGTCTGTCAACTATTGAAAAATACACTGCCCTTGCAGCTGCCGCTTGTCTTGGGTGAACACACATTGTACGACCGCTTCAGACATTATGTTCATGGCGTGGTGTACACGTGCAACAGAAATAGGCCGATTGGCGTCCCGTTTCCGAGGCCCAGACGGCTTGTAGCTCTTGCACGTTCTCGTGAGTATTGTTTCATATATAAAACAATCTCACCCATTCCTTTTTTTAGGTGTAAGAGTATTTATCACTTTGATGGTTTTTTTACATTCCAGAGTCTGCAAATTTGATTCATTTGTTTTGCTGTTCACCACTGCACTCGGGAATATACCCCAGACACGGGAACGTGGTTTGTCAATGATCAGTCTGGTCCATCGTCTCCAGTGACGGACACCAGGTCACCGAAACACAACACTGAAACACGATGCCATGCATGGACCAACAAGCCTGTCCACCTGGTATGTGTTTGACGAGCGTTACCAGAGTTTAAGAAAGCAAAATCCTCTACCTCAAAATATTTGCTTGCATTTCAGTTTTCCCAAGCTACCACCCTTCAAGTTCGGTCGGTGTCACAGTGAAAAAGTCTTCTTATGGTTCCTAAGAGATTTCTATTTTGATTTCTTTCGCTTGTAATTCAGCTGGGCTTGTTTTCATTTTAGGTTCATTGATGGAGTTTTTAAGTCAGTGAAAGAGATTGCCCGATTGGCATACTTTCGTTGACGTAACATTGGCGATTTCTTTCAGAGACGTGACGGAGGGCCAACAGTCCCTAAAGCGTACATAAAATATCCACAGGACGTCTAGAAGTTACGTCTCATCTTTACTCTCATTGTCTCGGATCCCGCGACAGATTACTTTTCTCATTTTTACTCTCATTGTCTCGGATCCCGCGACAGTTTACTTTTCTCATCTTTACTCTCATTGTCTCGGATCCCGCGACAGTTTACTTTTCTCATCTTTACTCTCATTGTCTCGGATCCCGCGACAGATTACTTTTCTCATCTTTACTCTCATTGTCTCGGATCCCGCGACAGTTTACTTTTCTCATCTTTACTCTCATTGTCTCGGATCCCGCGACAGTTTACTTTTGAGTTCAATCAAACTGTAAATATGAAACAACAATATTCTCATGGCAACAGTTAAAAATGCACTTGTAGAAATGTGTATACCCTACATGTAGGAGTGGGAAGGAGAAGCAGACTTGTTGCCGACGTTAACCAGAAGAGCTAATATGTGAGTGAGTGAGTTAATAGATACCGCGTTTTGTGACGACCGGTCAGCTTAACGTGGGAGCACAACCTGCAGTGTTGCAGATCTATTTGGCGAAACCTATATTCCCAGATATCTGAACCACGCACCTTTTGGGAAATACACGTGTATGAAAGTCTGTTGTGAGAAGTCATATATACAGTAGAAGACTACTTCACGCTTCTTCGTTGCGGCAGTAAAATGTAAAATGTGTGATAGAAATGAATGTCCTAAAGAGACATAATGCATGGTCGGCTGTGCGTTGATAGCAACTGAAGATGACACGCCCCTCTTAGGCATCGATTTAACATACATCAAACAATCAACAGAACCATTCAGTAGACGCGTTGTCGATAAAACACGATCAAGGTGGCTTAGAATGTGAAAAGAGATTTGAATATAAATTGAGACAGGTTGGTCTGTTCTCCAGGGCAAGATGAACAGCTGATTTAAACAACAATTCCACATACATACATCAAAAACTTAAACCAAGCACCCTTCATTCCAGCCACTTTTACCAAATATGTATACTCTCAACAGAGAAACGCATAGATGGTATTGATTCATGAAATTTCAAATATTTTCCAAAATTAGTGTTTGGTTGTTATAGGTTCGCCATTATAATGCTGGTGTGCGTACATGGATCGAACGTATAGTGCAAAAACTGATCTCAGGAAGCTTCAATGCAAGTTTATGTTCGAAAGTGTCAACTTTCATGAAAATGTCATGGAGAAAAAGTGGTTCGGAATATGTACGTGAAATTCCGATGAATCGGGAGCAGGGCCATTGCCTATATAAGGCCGTTTTGAATTTGTTTAGCTACATGAAAGAATGTCATTATGTCGCGGCTCACTTCTGTAAAATCGGCACGTTGCCATTGGACGTCTGGAAGCTGGGGAGTCTCAATCTGCCGTTGTACATCACCTCAGTGTCCACCAAAACGGCGACGTGTGTGGTTCAGTGACGAATCACGCTTTCTTCTTCCTTGCCGTGACGGAAGAGTACGTGTCTATCGACGTCGAGATGGACGTTTAGAGCAGAACTGGTTGTTGTCGTGTTACACAGAAATCTAACTTAGTGCGCCTTCAAGGCAATTTAACTGCTATTCGATGCAGAGACGAAAACTTAAGGATTCATATGGCTCCGATCATTTACCACCAGAGGGAGTTGTTCCAGCAAGATAATGCCAGGCCTCACACACCAAATGCCACTATTCAGTATCTACAGAATGAAAACATTACAGTGCTTTAAAGTAAAGCAGATTAAATTCGTGAAAATACACCCATGCGTTTCTCTTTTTTGAGTGTATATTTCGTACAGTGTGATATTTTCAGTTTTGCTTCACACGTTTTTCAAACAAAACTTGCATCTGGTCACTTTTTAGAAACTGAGCAAAATGTATAACGCGTTAACTTTTACGATTCTCGAAACATATTGTGTCCTTCTCACGTTCATCTGGGTTCACTATACCAAACCTTAGCACCAGCCATGAAGTTCATGTCACAAGCATATACATTGTATAAAGAGCAAGGCTATGTAAAAGTGAATCTTTGTGCATATGTAATATACACATTTTACTCTTGATGTTTCAGCCACAAGATTTGATAGATATTACATCACATATACATGTACTTTGTATGCATGCAGATATAATATTCTCCTTACTTACTCAGATATACAGAAAAATATGATATTTATTTAAACTAAATACGTGGACGCTGCAGCAGGAGTGCGTGTCATCCACATACATGATGTGTGGGCACACAACACATCAACATAGAAATAGCTGACATGCAGGTAGCATGTTCTTGCACACTGACTGGAAATGTACAATAGTTACGTATATGCACAAATACATGGTGATCAAACCACTGGTATATAGATCAAATACATGGTGATCAAACCACTGGTATATAGATCAAATACATGGTGATCAAACCACTGGTATATAGATCAAATACATGGTGATCAAACCACTTGTATAGGGATCAAATACATGGTGATCAA